GCATAGATGTGTAATGTAAACAAAATGATACTACTTACCTGTACACAGTATTGTTTACACCTGCTCTGTAAACAACAAAATGGGTGTGGGGGGGGGCACTTTGGCAAACATCAACAGGTCAGCGGAGGGGGGGGGTACCTGGCAAACATCAACAACAGGTCAGGGGCGGAGGTGGGGGGTACCTGGCAAACATCAACAACAGGTAAGGGGGGCGGAGGGGGGGGGGGGGTTACCCTGGCAAACATCAACAACAGCCAGGGCGGAGGAGAGAGGGGGGGCTGCACCATTGATCGTCGCTCATGACTTGAAGCCAGCAGCCGATTCACCGTCACTGGAGGTAATCTGGTTCTCGGCCAGGTGAGGCTGCATCAGGGCGTGTGGCAGGGTCCTCTTGCCGCTGACTTATTGTCCCCAGGATCTCTCATCAGCTGCTTAGGACTAACAGCTACGCTGTGGGCGTAAAGGTCAGGGGGGGCGTGGTGGTGAAGGGTTTTTGAGGTGGGGGCGTGGTGAGAGGGGGTTTTGGGTGGGGGGTGGGGAGGCGTATGGGACCGTAAGGGCGTGGTGGAATGGGTGAGACGTAGATTGTGGGCGGTGGAAGAGAAGGAAGAGGGCGAGCAAGGAGGAGGAGGAGAGGGGTGGATAGGAAAGAATTCACATCATGCGGGGAGGTAAGAAAGGGGGAGGGGAGATAAGGGAGACAAAGGGGGGGTGTTCAGTGTTCATATATTAATAACATTACATCAGAAGAATAACAGCCCATTACACCACGTTATGGCCGGGGTAGAGATTACGACGTATAGGGAATAGAGAAAACCAGCGATAAGTGGAATAATAACAACAATCGGTAAATGGGGGGGATAAATTGGGTAAAAAAATTGGAGAATAGTTGAATAAAAAAATCAGTTCGTAATTGGAATGTGTCATTGGAGGGTAAAACAAAGTCTTATAAATAGGGAGAAATATTTGGGGAAATTGGCTTAAGAATATAAATGGTTATTATGTAATTGGTGTTAAGGGAAAAATTGGGTGTTGGGGTATTGTGGGCATTTAGTTTTTAGGGATATTTTAGAGATTTGGGGATATTTTTAGGGGATTATATATATTTAGGGAGTTATTTTTTAGGGTGATTTTAAGGTGAAATGTTTTAGGATATCATTAAAGTCAAAACCAAATAGGAAAATGGGTAGAGTAATTAATAGGGGGGGGGAGTGGGAGGCAGGTGAGAGAGAGAGAAAATAATTATAATTAATGAAGTTTGGTTTATATACACCTGAGGATAATTAATTAATGAGAATATAAGGTGATTAATTATATACCTGTAAGAAATAGGAAAGACTGAAAATACGTAGAAACAGACGAATTCCCTGAAAATAAAACATAAAAAATGAAAGAACACAAGAATAGGATTAAGTGAAGATAATGACAATAATAATAATAATAATAATAATAATAATAATAATAATAATAATAATAATAATAAAAAATTAAGAGTTGAATAATTAAAAATGTATATAGCTAAATTTATATGTAATGAATGGCAGTGAAGGAAGGGTAATGAATGACCTGTAATGAATCCAGACGAGGCTTTAAAAGAGTGAAAGAAGAGTGGGAATGAGTCGTGTGTGTGTGTGTGTGTGTTAGTAATTGGTGATAAAACTTACATTACTATACCAATTAATTATAGTTACCAATTAATTATAGTTACCAATTGATTATATTTACCAATTAATTATAGTTACCAATTAATTATAAATACTTGTTAATTATATTTACCAATTAATTATATTTACCAATTACATCCCACACAATTAAATCAGTCCTTCAATAAATAATAATAATACTAAAAAATCGGCGCCCGTGTGTGTGTCTCGCTTCACGTATTACCTATAAGCTTACGGGGATTATATTGACATAATTTTAGAGAGAAGGATTATAGGGATTACACTAATATAATTACATTTTTTTGTTGTAGAGAAAGAGAGGGGGATTTATTTATATTATAATTATGATATTTGTAAGGTAGTAACAGGTTATTTTATGATGGGATATTGACGGTGTACAGGTGTGTGGGTGTTCAGGTGTGTGGGTGTACAGGTGTGTGGGAGAGAGAGGTATCAACAAGTGGTCGGTGAAGGAAGAGTTGCAGCTTCCTGGTGTCTTGGTACTTGGCACTGTGTCAAGACCTGGTGCCTGGTGCCTGGCCAACACCTGCTGCTATATGGTGGTGAGAGAGAGAGAGAATTATCCCAAAATATATAAACTTATCTGATAGTCTCTCGCTCTCTCTCTCTCTCATTCATTATCTTCACCCTCCTGTTCCTCTTACCGTATGGGGGAAGATAAAAGGAAACGGGAGACCTACTGAGAAGAGAAAATGGTAGGTAGGTGTGTGTGTGTGTGTGTGTGTGTGTGTGTGTGTGTGTGTGTGTGTGCCCCACTTAAGCTACGATATAGTCTAAAAAGGATCCTACGTTTATTTTCCACCTCATGAACGATATACCTTACGAAAAGTTACTAATAAATAAATAATAATTACCCAGAATAACATTAATATTATCTTAAAACTCCTCCATAATTATTAACTTTGTGACATTATCTTAGGAGAAACCAAATCTTAACTTAGGATTTGTTCATAATTTGTGTTACGTTAGTGTTCGTTTGTCAATCTTGTTTCTGAATTAACTAAAATACGTTCAAATTTCTCTTTAAACCGGAATTAAAAAGAGATTCTATTTCCAGGTTTTAACTTCAGTCTCAATGCTGTTTTATCGTCATCTTTCTCGTCAGCTGTGTGGTAGTGAGTCATTTGGATGCAACGTCATAATTCTTCCAGTCTAGGGAGAGTTAACGTAGGAGGCACGCGTGAAGCTGTGGTGGGTGGTAGCGCTGATGGTGGTGGCTGGTAATGGTGGTAGTGGTGGGTGGTAACGATGGTGGGTGAGTGGGCGGGTGTGGGTGGGTGGGTACTACACTAGGAAGATTGGACAGTGAGTTATGTAGACAACAACATCTGGTAGAAGGCCGCTCTGGGTGTGTTATGGGCGACACTAGCGTATGCATAACAATACCTTCCTGCTGGTGGCGCTGAAGGGGGGGGAGGGGGAGGAGGGAAGGGGCGGTTATGGGGAGGATGTGTTTCTGGAGGGGGGGTGGTGGTGGGGAGGGGTCGTGGGGGGAGGGGAGTTAACAAGGGGCGGCGTCAGCTGTGTAGGGATTTATCAACGCTACTGGGATGGTGGTGGAATAATTCTGGTGTGTTGGTCTGCATGTATATATATGTATTAACGAGTCTTTCTCTGTATACATGATAAGATATGAATACACCTTAATATTATATAATGTATGTATGAGCATGAGAAATATATATACATTACGTCAGCGAGAGTTAGGTGACGGGTTCATCAAGACTAAAATGCTGGAAGGAAGAAATTATTTATGGTGTGTGTTAGAAGTGTAGAATGATTAATGTGGAAACTGGATTTTGTAAGTTAGTTTTAACGTTTGGGTGATGAGTGAGAGAGAGAGAGGGTGAGGAAGAGGTATAGATAAAGAGAGAAAGAAAGGAGGAATAAGAGAGAGAGAGAGAGAGACAAGCGGGTAGTCACTGGTGCGTTCAGAGTCGAATTTCCACAATGCAAAATTTTCCCGCCTTTGATCAGCTGATTTTTCCCGCAACAAACAATGGTCGACTTTACCCAGTGCAACCGTCACGAATATCAAATGTTGATATAACGCTTGTATTGTCACGCTAACACTGTGATTTTACCCAACAAGAACTTTAATGCTGTTAAATATTACAAAGTTTATATATATACAGTATATACATTCCTCTGTCGTTACGGGATGGGGCGTGATGCTTCCCTGTGTTTCCCGCCAACGTGAATTACGCCAAAAATATATATATATATATATACCCCGTTCTAATTCCTTTGTTCTCGTTCCAAACTCTCTCCATTATTGTTGGTTTTTATTTACATTTTGCACTCAGATTTGTCCAGATTTGTGCAGTACGTAACGAGACAGATTTTTTAAACTAACAAAATGAGAAAATATCGGTGTTTTAGGTGTCATCCCTCGGTCGTGTTCACCCGGACGAGAATTTCTGCAGGAAGTTGGAGAGTCTTTTTAAAGTAATGTTTAATAATATGTCTCAAGTTTGTTATATTCCTCATTTTTCTCTCCTTCCGGGCTGTGTGTTTACTAGAGGAAGATCTTTGTGTTTAGTGAAGAGGAAAACCGCTGCCATAACACACAAGAATGTTCTATAGTGTTGATTTTGCTTTGAGAGGAAGTGACGTCACGGTTTCAATACTATTTTTATGGATGTTTATAACTGACTGGAAATGACTGTCAGATCTTTAAAATATATATACCTGACTAGAAATGACGCCAGCTACTAGGAATATATATAACTGACTTATAGCGAGTTATATAAAAGAAACGTGACTGAGCAGAAGTCAGATATAAAGTCACATTAGAAGAGTGACAGGTGTGAATTGAAGGAACGATGTGTAACTTGGCGGTGAAGTCAGATATGTGTAGGATATTTAGTCAGATATATGATGTAAATAAATTGAACGAAAATGTAAATAAGTCAGATATATTTATTGAGATATAACTCATTATAGGTAGAAATACTGTACATACACCAAATATAAATGTATATACACATGATCTATAATACACATCCCTGTATATTGAATTATTTTAGTTACAGGAATGATATAAATTAGGGTTGATACAGGATATATAGATAGGCTACATTATTCATATAGGGAGACATTATAATATAGTATAATATAGTACTGTAATAGGGCAGCGTTCAGCATCTGTCAATATAGTCCTATTTAATTCAGATAAGATTATAGATAGATATAGGGGATTTATTTAAATAGGTAAAAATAGGTTGGTATTTCACACTATTTTCTATATAACGTAAATATCCCAACCCCCCATTTTCTATACCCAAGTCAATCCCCATTTTCTATAAGACTTACGTAGGTTTTTAAAGGGTCCCTCGTAATTGAGGTAAGATTCATCATAGATCATCTTACACATGTCCTCTCGGGTCTTGGCCCTGTAGCAGATGTAGTCGAAGTTCCTGGCTATAGTGAGCATCGTGTTCTTCTGCAGGGTGCCTGGCTGGTTCCTCAGTGGCATTTTATGAGAGTTTTTAGTTTAATTATTTTTATTTTTTATTAGGTTGATCGTTTTGAATTGTTCCACTAATTTGTTTCTTTATTTTTCTTTTATTTTGTTGTACTTTTATTCTACTTTTGTTTACTTAAGTTTATTCAATTGTACTTAACTTTTAGAACTTATCACGTCAATAATAATCCTTGTACGTGTTGAGCATTGTCTGGGTGATGTCCTATCCGGCGTGTTCGTGTCCTTAGAGATGTGTGTCCTTAGAGATGTGTCCTTAGAGATGTGTGACCTTAGAGATGTGTCCTTAGAGATGTGTGTCCTTATGAGAGTTGAGTAACACTTTTTAGCCTTTAAACACCTCTAAATCTGTCCTTTTATTACTTATCAAGGTATTTTTTTGACCTTTTTCCTCTACTTAACACTTTATAAGGCTTGTGGTCTTTTAACTCTCACTGGGAAACACTTCAGCCGATTTGGATTTTGTGTTGGGGTTGAAATCTGGATTTTCTTGAGAGCACTGGAGTTTGAAGTTTAATCTGGGGGTGAAATCTGGTGTGAAATCTGGCACTGAAGGATGAGTGCAGTAATTTATATGTGAGTTACGGTGTAGTTCATGAGATGTGAGTTACAGCGTTACTCATGGACGGTCACACACACACATACGGGGATAATGTACAGGGGCACTTGATTAGTTTCTGCAGGTCCGAGTTTATAACGTGTCAACACATATCCTGGGTCTCAGTGCCACGAAGAACAGGTATGGTACTGTATGAGGAACGAACTCGTGTGTAGCTTAATTGTGAGATAACTCCGCCGCACACTACCCAAGAACACACACCCTTGCCACTACTCGACGTACTCTGATGCCCCGTGCCCGGTCCTGCCTCCACACACACGCACACACACACACACACGAGTGCACCATTGCCAAGGTTGGGGGGATGGGGGGGGGGAAGTGGGGGGAATCTCTCACCTCTCCCTTCCTCTCCTCTGTCTTCTCACCAGCTGTCTACCTCACCTTCCTGCTGCCACCACCACCTGTCGATACTTGTACCATCTGTCCAATATTAATGGAAATACCAACACCACCACCACCACCATCTGTCATCACCACCACTACTACCACCATCTGCCAAACATCTTCACTATTACGATCACCATCTCAACCACCACTACCTGCCTACACCCACCACCACCACCACCACCATAACCACTATCACCACAACCACCACCATTTACCTAACACAACTTTATCAGGATGCCTAACTCTGCCTTCCCTCCTCTCCTCCTCCCTCCTCCTCCTTCCCTCCCCACAACAACAACAATCTTTCACAAACAAACAAAAACATAGACAAACACAAACACAGAGGACGCTGTGTGTGTGTGTGTGTGTGTGGGGGTCATAATCACAGTAAGTAAATCTTCTTACTAAAATATTAACTTCATTTTAGGTCAACTTGGTGCCTCTTGTTGCTAAATATTCCAGTGTTATTGTTGATGTTGTAGTGTGTTGTGATGTGGGTGTGTTGTGATGTGTGTGTTGTGATGTGGTTAAGTGATGCAGGTGTTGTAATCTACCTGCTGAGAGCCAGGTGTAATCAGCGCCTGACTCACTCCATCATTTAGCTAATCACCACAACGATGCTCTCCTAATGACCCCCAATTATGTCAAATGGAACAACCTGTTTGGCGTATACAGGTGAGAGTCGTGTGTGGCACTGTATTGGCACTGCTTGGCACTCCCTCTCTGGGCACTGGCACCCCTCACCATCCTACAGGAGGGGGGGGGGGAATCAGTACACTAGATCCGGGTTTGTAATGTTTGATTTCAGAGTTACAAAAATGTTATGGGAGGTGTGTGTGTGTGACCTCTGACCTCCCCCACAGCGTCAGGTCAGGCCAACAGTTCCTCGTTCTGTCACGGCAAGAAAATATTTTGTGAGGGATGGAAATATTGGTATTGAGCCCCTCACACACACACACACACACACCACACACACACACACACACACACACACACACACACACACACACACACACACACACACACACACACACACAGGATCGCGTGGTGAGGGGTTGAAACAATAGAGAGTGAGTCGATGAAAGGGAACACTGAATATTGTTTGTCCCTCCTGCTGTAGCCGCGTCAGATCTCCTCCACCAACACCCTCCAACACCCTCCTCCACCACTACTACCACCATCCACACCCTCATACACCTCCCTCCACCCACAACGTCACTAGGCGTACACTAGACAGGTCAGAGTGTATGTATGTATGTATGTGTGTGTGTGTGTGTGTGTGTGTGTGTGTGTGTGTGTGTGTGTGTGTGTCATGTTTGAGACTGATGTATCACGTTTGTGTTTTTATTAGGACAAACAGACAAGCAGTTTATTATGATCATTATTATTATCATCATATTTATTATTATTATTATTATTATCATATTTATTATTATCATCACCATCATCACCACCATCATCATCACCACCACCATCACCACCATCACCACCACCACCATCATCACCATCACCACCACCATCATCATCACCATCATCACACCACTATCACCATCACCACCACTATCATCACCATCATCACCACCATCATCATCACCACCACCATCACCACCATCACCACCACCACCATCATCACCATCACCACCACCATCATCATCACTACCAGGAGAATCTATCAAGGCTGCACCACTACCTGTCAGTACACAACATCGCCCTCATTAAAATGCTTCCCGTAAATATTAGAGGAAGGAAAAAAAAAGGCTACAGGTATTTAATTAATTAGAGGGAAATACCTGTATGTCGTGAAGGTCGGTGTAATATTAGACCCGGGAGGTGGTCACAGGAAGCTTGGTACTGAGCATTTATGGTGGGTACTGGGCATTTATGACAGGTACTGAGCATTTATGGCAGGTACTGAGCATTTGTGGTGGGTACTGGGCATTTTTGGGAAGGTTTTGAGCATTTATGACAGGTACTGAGCATTTATGGTAGGTATTGAGCATTTATGACAGGTACTGAGCATTTATGGAAGGTACTGAGCATTTATGGTAGGTATTGAGCATTTATGACAGGTACTGAGCATTTATGGTAGGTATTGAGCATTTATGACAGGTACTGAGCATTTATGGTAGGTACTGAGCATGTATGGCAGGTACTGAGCATTTATGGCAGATTTGGAGCAATTTTGAGACTTGTGGAAGGTCTTGAACATTTCAGAACAATTATTAACATTTTCGATAATCCGGCAAACATTTCTAGGACATTATGATCCTTTATCCAACATTATTAAACATCCAACATTTCTGCAACATTCTGGATGACTTCTCTTAAATTTCTCGCTCATTTTACACAATTTTAAGGGTACTTTATTTTTTTTTTCCTGTTTCAATATATTTTCTGTCCCGTAATGAATATTGTTAAGTTGATTGTCTGGATGGTGGTGGTGTGGTGTGGTGTAGTGTGGGGATGGTGTGGTGTGGTGTGGGGGTTGTGTGGTGTGGGGGTGTACATGAAAGGCCTATATACGTACATGGCGTGTGTCTCATTGTTATGCATGACACTGTAGAGGTCAAGGCACACACACACACACACACACACACACTGGTAGGTCACGTTTTGGTGTGGAAAAGATTTTTTGTTTTTTCTCTAAGTCGCTGCTGTGCTTTTAGGTTAGGTTAGGTTAGGTTAGGTTAGAGTAGGTTAGAGTAGGTTGGGTTGGGTTACGTTAGGTTTGGTTACTTTACGTTGGGTTACGTTAGGTTTACGGGGAACACCTGCCCGGCCTCGTTAAATACGTGTCCTAGTTTTAATTAAAGCACTCCGTCGTGGGTGATGTGTGAGGAGAGGTGTAATGGTGTGAAGGTGGTGGTGGTGACTCTCTCTCTCTCTCTCTCTCTCTCTCTCTCTCTCTCTCTCTCTCTCTCTCTCTCTCTCTCTCCGTGTACAGTTCTGTCACTCTAATGAATCTTTGACGAGCCAGACTGACCCTGCTTAATATAACCTCAAAAGGTCACATAGTTTGACCCCGTGGCACTGCTGACCTTAACTTAGCCCACGAGGTCATCACAGGTCGGTTATTCAGTTATACATGAATTCTTACAAGAGATTTGTTGATCAACGGAAGTGTGTGTGTGTGTGTGTGTGTGTGTGTGTACAGGTATACACACAATATACACAGACAGTACAGGTATACACACAGTAAACACCACTGCCCCCACACACACCTGCATTATAAACAGGTAATACACTTTTTCTCACTGCCTCTAGGTAGCAAGTAGGTAAGAGGGAGAGACACCTTACTACGGCCGGGGACCATTAAGGGCAGTTAGAGGGGTGTAATGGCTGTACATAACTACCATTACTTCTGACGCTAGGAAAAACTGTATGGTAGTAGTTTGTGACCTTTTGTTTCCCTGGGTGTGTGCCTCTCTCTCTTCTTCTTCTTCTTCTCTCTCTCCTTCTCCTCTCTCTCAGTATCGTGTCGACTCATCTCATCATTGAGGTTTCTAATTAAATTGCCTCAAGACCGCCTCAGTTTTTTTCCCCAGAAAATACAAAATCTTAATTTTTCTTCACTGTCTATGAAGGAAGGAAGTCATAAATGTCTTTTTCTGAGAGAGAGAGAGAGAGAGAGAGAGAGAGAGAGAGAGGAGAGTGTGTCTGGTTCTTAATTAATTACATTGGACTGATATAATCTACGTAAGACAATGGTTAAATTAAGTAATATTTGTTATTATTGTCGTTAAGTCATACGTCTATATATTAGTGTGTTGTCGTCTTCGTACACCAGAGGGACAGTTGCCGCCAAAATTAGAGAAAATAAGTTGTCTTTTCCCGCCGTTGAGTGACTGGAGCTATCCCCGCCTCATGACCTGGCGAAGGATGGCCGCTATTACCAGCTCGTAATTTGTGATGGTGGCGGCGCCTTCCCCAGGAGTCTCTTTACAAAAAAAAAAAAGGAAGGTAATTTTGTCTCCCAGGGCGTGGTGAAATATTAGGACGGGGATTTGGTCTGGTGGTGGAACGGTGTTGTCATTTTCTCCGACATTTGTGGTGTAAAAATACCATCATCAAGTTTCCCGCCAAAAAAAGAAGTCAACAAGATGGTGAAAGTATTGAGTGTTGTTGTCCTTGAGGTAATGACGTAGTGTTATTGTGAGGTGTGATTGTGGCGTTATTTCCGTCATAGATGTAAAGTGTTGCAATGTTTCCTGGATGTAATTGTGAAACACGGCAACGTTTTCCCCCCCTCAAATAATTGTAGAATATTAAAACTTTTCCTTCGTATAAACTGTGAAATATTGCAACTTTTGGCGCCAAATCCGTTTTGTTAAATCCTGGAGCGTTTCCCGCCAAAATATGTGGCGGCGTAAAGGGTCATCACTAGTCAGGAGGAGACGCTTGACGACCCCCCTCCCACCTGCGGCGCTCTATGAGGAGGTGTGTGACTTAAAGCCGGGCTCTATAATGGACTGGCTTCCTGTTGTCACCGCAGGGGCCCAGCCAGCACCACAGGAGAGGATTAAGGCCTGGCTGTAGAGGGCTCACCAACACGCACCACCACTCACCACCCAGACTCTCACGCGCCAACCTCCCTCCCTCACCGCCTCCTTCACCGCCTCCCTCACCATTACATCGCCGTAATCTTTGCTTTATCTCAAGTTTATTAGACTCAGAGGATTGTGAGGGGGCTGTCGGTGGCTGGTGCTCTGGAGGCTTACGTGGATAATGCGGGTATATTTTGACCAGGAGTGGATGAAGGCGGTCTGACCCACACACACCCACCTATTACAGTATTAAGGGAACATAGGCTCGTAATATTTCTCACTTCATGGCGGCTGATGATTGTAATTT